AGCTAATTAAGTGCTCTTTTACTGACTTGTAACCGCCATGCTCCTTTTACCGTTTTGAGATAGTGTCTCGCTATATAGCCCAGGCTGGTCTCAAATTTGCAATCCTTCTGCCTCAGATTCCCAAGTGCCTGTTTACCAGGCCCTGCTTCCATACTGTGTGTGTGATTTTAGTTGATTTAGTGGCCAGTCCCACTGTGTGTGTCCACTTTAAGGTCTGAATAGGTGTGGGCCATGCTTTTCTGCATCTGTCTGTTGAGTCATCTCTGTCATTTGCTGCATAGCACGTAGCCTATACTGTTCAGCACATGCCGTTGTCTCTCCTGAAGGTACCGAGTTTTATTCAATGGCCGTTCATTTAACTGGAGATCAGATGATTTTTTTAAGGGGAAACATGTACTTTCTTTTTCACATTTGTGTATGAAGGAAAACACACACACACACACACACACACACACACACACACACACACACACACACACGCCACAGCACACGTATGAAGCCCAGAGGATGCCTTGTGGGTGTCAGTTCTCACCTTCTATTATGTGGGTTCTGAGGATTGATCTCAGGTCGTCAGGCTTAGTGACAAGTGCCTTTACCCGATGAGCCATCTTACTGGCTCTGGGTGATCTTTTGGGGCTTGTTTATGTCTTCTTTGTTGGGATGAGTCTATTGCGTGAAGTTTGTCATTTTTCTGGAGTTCCCACTGAAGGCTCGAGGTTGTGAAAAATTTTGTCCTGGCTTTTGGAAACAGAGCACACTCACCCAGTCTCGAAACATCTCTGCGGCTCTTCAGTCCCTCACACATTCCTGAGAGATGTTTTGTTTCCTGAGTTACCTTTTACCTCACAGTATCTGCCTCTGTCTGTGACATGTAGGGTCCAGCAAAAGTGCATTTTTGTGTATCCTCCTTGCCCCAAGATTCCTGAGGAAGGGAGAGAGCTGCAGTCTTCATGGGCTCCTGTCTTATCTCCTCTTCTAGGAGTTCCTCTAGTTCTGCCCTGCAGGCAGAAACAGAGACTGTAGCACTCCACTCATTTCCCAGGGGCACAGTTTATTTTATTTGGTGTCCTGACATCGGAGGAGGGAGAGATAGCAGAGGTTACTGTACCAAGGCCAGGAGTCACAACCCATCCTTCAGGCATTACATTTCTGCTTATGATTCTCTGGCTTCTTTCATACTGAGCTTTAAAAACATTCAAATGGCATTGTTTACTTGTGTGTGGCAGTGTACCTATGGTGGTCAAAGGACAAGAGTGAGTTCTCTCCACCAAATGAACTCAGGGTTGGTGGCTAAGATCTCTACCTGCTGAGCCATCCTGCTGGCTCTCTGGTGAGCTTTTAATGTATTTATCTAAAATCTTTAAAAAATTAGCCAGATGTGGTGGTGATTTTAATCCCAGCACTCTGGAAGCAGAGGCAGGTGGATTTCTGTGTGTTTCATGTGTTTGGGTATTTTGCTTGTATGTATGTCTGTGTACTACATGCACACCTGGTGCCTGCAGGGGTTCAAAGAAGCCACCAGATGCCCCAGAACTGGAATTATAGATGGTTGAGTCATTATTTGGGTAGTGAGAATTGAACCCAGGTCCTCTGGAAGAGCAACAAGTGCCTATGACACTTGAGCCATCTCTCTAGCCCCCAAAGAATTTTTTTTTTTTAGTTACATGTGTATGTGCATGACTGTATATACATGATGTGCTTTTGAGTGCAGTGCCTCTGGAGGACAGAAGAGGGCGTCAGATCCCCTGGAGCTGGAGTTCCAGATGGTTGCGTTGTTTCGTGGGTGCTGGAAAACAAACTCAGGTCCTCTTTAAGAGCAGCATTTGCTTTTGACCACTAAGCCATTTCTCCAACTTCATTTGTTTGTCTTTGACACAGAGTCTCACTATATAGCCTCAGCTGGCCTGGAACTCAATGGAGTTCCACCTGCCTCTGTGTATCGAGTACTGGGATTAAAGGTGTGCACATCATACCTGGCTATTTCTCCAGCTTTTATTTCCCCTTGTGTGCTAGGCATGGAACCCAAGGCCTTAGGCCTACTGGGTAAGCATGGTCTCACTGAGTCACACCCCTTGCTATACTCAACAGATGTCTAAAGATGTGGCTGTGGACAGGGGAGATGGCTTAGTGGGACAAGCATGAGGACTTGAGTTTGAATCTACATAGAAGCAGAATGTGGGTGTGTGTGCCTGTAAAGCTGGTGGAGGCAGAGGCAGAGGCAGGAAAATAACTGCTGGCTGCCAGCCTAACTCTAGCTTCTCAGAGACCCTGTCTCCAGGGAATATGATGGAGACTGAAAGAGCAGGACAGTTGATACCCGTCTGGCCTGTGCATACTCATAAGGTGTGTGTGTGTGTGTGTGTGTGTGTGTGTGTGTGCACATACATATACCTCATAGTTCTGGCCACATTTACAATTTTTATTTAGTGTGTGCGTTTGTATGATGTGTTTGTATATGAGTGCGGGTACCAGCATCAGATCCACCAGGAGCAAGAGTTACAGGCAGTTGTGAGCCACCTGACATGGGTGCTGAGAATTAAACTCAGGACCTCTGGAAGAACAGCAAGTGCTCTTAATTGCTTAGCCATCTCTCTGGTCACATTTCTGTGTTCACTCAGTCTCCTACAAACACAGGAATGTTGCAGAGGATACCATGTGCAGTGCACTGGTCAAGGTACTGATCGTACAGCTGTACAAGATGTCAAAAGTCTTACTTGTCCCAGAGCTGAGAGCTCAGTGGGGCAGGCAGTGAACCAACAGGCAAGCAAGTGCCATGTCATCACCTTGTCCTCAGCAGCAGGGAAACAGCCTGGCATTTTTGCCAGCAACCAGAGAGTTCACCCTGCCCTAACCAGGTACCTCCCCTCAGGCAAAGCCAGACAGGGTGTGGTAGGAGATATCTCAGAATGAGTTTGAGCAAAGCACAGAGAGTGAGTTTATTAAGTATTCAGACAAACAGACAGGAGAAAGACAATTTCAAGACATGAACACTAGATTCTCAAGGAAGAAAATCACATGTAGGTGTCTATAATGGCTATCTATAAGATCCTTCAGCTTTCTAAGTGACAATCTCAAAAGGATGTATTTATAGGTTTTAAATTAACTTTATGTCTAGCAATGACGTAATAAAGACACAGATGCCAGGGTAGGGAAGGAGTGGGGTTAGGGGGGATAAGCCAAGCCTCTCAGAAGAGGTGAGCTCCGAAAAGCCTCTCTGAGAGCATGAAGGGCAGGAAGTACACCAGCAAGAGGGTGTCCACTCAGTGTGGTGGAGAGCCACTGGAGAGCTTTAGACAAAGGCATCACGCCATGGTCTCATTGTGTTAGGCAGTTCTTTGTAGTTCTGCACAGAAAGTAGCAGTGGCAGGCAGCTGCTGCAGTAGTACACACAGAGATGGACGGGAGTGATCTTGGGGCTAGAGATGCTGGGAATGGGTCCTGTTGGGAATGGAGTCTAAAGGCAGAACCTTCAGAAGTGCCTGAATGGCTTATGTGCTTTACTGATTAGTTTCCAGTCACCAATGCATCGGTGTCACATTAAGGAAAGGAATAAAAGCACTTCCCCTTTGAGTCTTTAACCAAGAGTCCAGATTTGAATGCTCCCTGCATCTTCTGTCCCCTGTGGGAACCTGTGCCTACCTGTAGAAGGCAGTCCCTGAGTGTGACTGTGTGTGACTGTGCCTTTTGTGTGTTCTGTGTCTCTGTGTGTGATCTTGTGTGTCTGGTGGGTGACTGTGTCTATCCCTGACAAAGGGCTTCTCTGTCTTTATTGAGCAGTACTGGCTGCAACACATGGGAGAAGGGTGGGGTACTTTTCAGGGATTTTACCCAAATTGTAAAAGGATCATGTCACTGCCCTCAACTGATCCCAGCTGACCCAGACAACTACAGTAATACAAACAATGGTTTATCAACCAACATCCATAAATGGATATTCATTTTGGAAGGTTGCTTTCAACCTCTGTATTTGCTGCTTTCAGCAAATGACACACATGTATTTTCTAGGACAGGGGCATGGAAGAGTACATGACTTAAGATTATAGCTATCTATTAGTTTAGGTTGTAAAAGTTGGTTACACAAATGCCAGGTGGTGGTAGTACACACCTTTAATTCTAGCACTCAGGCAGATCTCAGTGAGTTTGAGGCCAGCCTGGGCTACAGAGTGAGTTCCAGTACATCCAGGACTGTTACACAGAGTAATCCTGTCTTGAAAAAGAAAAGAAAAAGTTGGTTACACAGGAAGTCCAATGCAAATAAGGCTGGTTACTACATTGTTTGCTCTCTCTTTTCTTTTTGTTTTTGAAGACAGGGTTTCTCTGCATAGCCCCAGCTGTCCTGGAACTCGCTCTGTAGACCAGGTTGGCCTAGAACTCACAGAGATCCACCTGCCTCTACATCCTGAGTACTGGGGTTAAAGGAGTGGGCTACTATTACCTGGCTTGCTACATTGTTCTCTCAGAGGTAGATTTAACAAACAGGCTGAGTATACAGTGGGATAGCCCTTATTCTTGGTTTTTGAGATAGGGTCTTACTATGTAGCTCTGGCTGGCCTTGTCTCCTCGTCCTCCTAGCCTCCATCTCTCAAATGCTAGGATAACAGGTGTGTGTGCCTGCCCTTTCTGCCTGCCTGGCCAGGACTGGCCTGCAGAGTGTAGGGTTGGCATCTGTGTGTTCTCTGTGAAACTGGACTTTTACTTTTGGACACTTCCTCCACTGCCCTCACCAGCTCTCAATTTCTCTTATGATACTTACACATGGGCCCCCTGTTGAGACTGGGCTGTTGGTGACTTCGGGGCAGACTTCAGGGACATGTGTGGTGGGATTGGGGCTTCCTGTTGCCTCATGTACAGAGATACTATGTCCTAAAAATAAGTACCCCCCAAAACCCCACTTTTTGACCTGGGCTAGGGTGCTCTGAGCACCCTGGGGCCTGGAGTAGATTCCCCTCCCCATCACAGCTCTGGGAACCTTACGTGCTTGCTCTGTCCTGTCCCTCTAGGGCGTCACTCGCAGACCCAAGGTGGCTCCTACCAGGAGGATGAGCAGGTTCTTGAAGCACTTCACAGTGGTTGGGGACGACTACCACACATGGAACGTCAATTACAAGAAGTGGGAGAATGAAGAGGAGGAGGAAGAGCCAGCCCCCACATCAGCTGAAGGGGAAGGCAGTGCCGTGGGCACGGATGCCGAAGCTGGCCCTGTCCCCACACCCAAGCCGGCCCTGGACTTCAGAAACAGGCTAAGGAAACTCTTCAGTTCGCACAGGTTTCAGGTAGGAGGGTAAAGTCACCAGGTCCCCGAGGTGGGAGCCCCCTCTGCCACCCATGCATCCCACAGGTGTTTTCTGAGCACCTACCGTATGACCTGTAGGGACAGTGCAGGAGGGGAGATAAGAGAGTGAAGGAAGGTTAATGGCCTTTCATGGCCTGTCCCTCCAGAGGGGCATGACAAAGGAGGGACATGTGAATACCACATGCGGCAACTTTGAAAATATGACTTGAGCCACAGTCCAGACAGGGAAGGTCCCAGATGTGTGTGATGCCAGGTTGCTGAGCCATCCAGAACGCGCACAGCCAGGTAGACAGATGGGAGGTTGTGGGAGGGAGGGAAGAATGGAGGGGGTGGCTGTTTGAGAGTGATGGGATTTCCTTTTGGATGGTGGAAATACAATGGGACTAGATGGTGGCGGGCTGCACAGCCTTGCGACTGCACCCACTTGCCACAGAGCTTTATGGTAACCTGTGAATGGTCACTTTATACTAGTTCTTTTCACATTGTGAAAAATTTGCCTGTACACTATGAGAAAAGCATTCATTTCACAGTGCCTGCTTCTGGACAAGGTCATGTGGGTTCCCTGCCTCAAAAACCTCATCACCATGAGCCCTCAGACCCTTCTTTATGGGGAGGTAACAAAAACACGTGGGGCTGGGGAGACAGCTAAGTGGATAGTGCTTGTTGTGTAAGCATGAAGCCCCGAGTTTGGTTCCCCAGAATCCAGGGAAAGAGTTGGGTGTGGCAGTACATGCCAGTAATCCCAGCACTGGGAGGCAGAGAAGACACGTGGCTCCTTGGGGCTCACTGGCCTGTTGGTGAGCCCCAGGCTCTGTGAGAGAATTAGGTGGAGAGTAACTAAAGACACCAACATGAACCTCTGGCTTACATGTGTGTGTGCGTGTGCACATGTGCGCGCGCACACACACACACACACACACACACACACACACACAGAGGACATACGTACTCCACTCATGTGCCTGGCTCTCACCAGATGCTCACTCATGTGCTGCCTCTCTCCAGATGCTACCCTGGGGAGAGTAAGGGGCTCCCTTGCTGAGCTCTGTGGGGCTCATCTATCCCAACTTTGTGAAAGGCAATTTTTCAAAAAGATTTATTTTATTTATATATATGTGTGCTTATACAAGTTTATGTGCACTATTTGTACTCAGGAGCCCTCAGAGGCTACAGGGTGTCCAATCCCTGGAGTTGGAGTTACAGGTGCTTGTGAGCTACCTGATGTGGGTCCTAGGAACTGAACCCAGGTCCTCTGCAAAAGCAGCAGCATTTTTAACTGCTGAGCCATCTCTCCAGCCCTGTGAACAAGAGCAGGCTTCTGTCTCTACCCTGAGGTAGCAAGCTGGTGTCTAGAAGCATGGCTGCTCCAGGAAAATGCAAGAGACCAAGGGCATGGTGACAGTCACAGCTCCTGGTGGGTCCAGTACCACAGGGAGGTACTTTGGGGATGCTGCTCTGGGCATCAGAGCCCAAGTCCCTTCTGGAAGCAAGGAGAAACAGCTCCACTCTCATGACTGACACTGTTCTGGGGGTGGGGGGTTATATTGGTCTCTTTTCCCACTTAAAGCAAGCCAGCAGCCCAGCAGCCCTTGCATTCTGCCAGCCCCTCTGGCTGTGGCAGGAAACATGGTATTATGTTGTTGTGGTTGAAATCCAAACCTGCAATTTCAGAGCAAACAGAGGGAGCCAGCTTCCTTCCAGCTGTAAAGGGAGCCACAGACCCACCCCCTCTGGATGTCCCTGCCTCTGGAAGGGACTCAGCCTGCTGGTCCTGGATTTGACTCTTAGGCTGGAAAAAAAAAAAAAAAAAAGATAACTATCATAAAGGCATTTGTCCTTTGAGGGGACAGTGGTCTCCCTATTGCAGATGGCAGCGAGCTGGATGTGACAGTCTGTGGAGTGGCAGGAATGACAGACGCTGCTTAGCATGGCTAGTCATTCCCTGCAAGGGGCAAGGATGAGGTCAAAGAGCTCCTGATAGACTGGGAGTCAAGAGGTCGCAGGTGACTGTTACCTGACACTCAAGCATAGTAGGACCCAGGGGTGGAAGGGCATGTTTCAGACAGGGGACTGAGTTGCGGAGTAGAGGAGGGGTGCAAGGTTCCTGTGGATGGACCCTGTGGGGGTGACATGGCCAGATAGGTTAAGGATCTTGGATGGAAGCCAGATGAGATGGGGGGTGGGACTGGGGTTCAGGAGTCTTGTTCTCTGCTGGTAGGATCTGCGAGACATAGTGACAGAGCATGCTGTCACTTGTCACATGGTGAGTGAGTCTCCTGGGAAGGCCAGAGATGGGTCTTTGACCTTGATCAAGGCGCAGCCAGAGCTTAGCACATTGTTCATGGGCCTCACGTCCCCTTGGATGTCACTTGAGCAGAATGTGGCCAGCTGAGGTTTCAGTTCCAGTGCTGTCCCCAGCGCAGGCTGATGGAACTCTGCAGTGGGCACCCCACAGGGGAGGATATGGGTTAACAAAGGGATGTGACTCCCCTTCCACAAAAAGCAACCAGGTAGAAGGGCAGATTTGAGATTTGGGGATCAGTTCATGGAGGTCAAGCGTTAAGATCCATCATTGTCTTTTTTTGGTCTATCTTTCTCACTTCTAACTTCAGGTGACAGTCACACAATGTAAAATTAACCTTTTGTTTTGTTTTTTTGAGACAGGTTTTCTCTGTGTAACACTCCTAGCTGTCCTGGAACTCTCTTTGTAGACGAGGCTGGCCTCAAATTCACTGAGATCCACCTGCCTTTGCCTCCTTAGTGCTGGGATTGAAGGTGAGCGCCTCCACCGCCTGGCTAAGATTAATCATTTTAAAGTGACTATTTATGTGGTGTGTAGTGCACAGAGCACTGTACAGCTCACCACTTATCAGTTCAGAATATCGTTGTCACTGTCCATCCTGCGCCACTGGACCCCGTCTGCATTTTACCCGTCTGTGTTCTGGGGATCACATCATGCATGGCCGGAGGGTCTAGATGCCTGCACTCAGCATAGCACGACAGCACAGGTCCATGCTTCGTGCCTTTTGGTGGCTATGTGGTGAGCCTGTTCCCAATACAGTTGTGCTTTGGTTTGAGATCATGTGACTTTGCTAATCCCTCTGATTCTAAAATACAAAGAAATAATAATAAAACAAAATCCAGGCTGGGAATAGGGTCTGTCAGGAAAGGGCTTGCTGTCCATGTAAGAGGACCCCAGTTCTGGGTCCAGAACCCAGGCTTTAACAGAAGGCAAGAACCTGATGTGGTAGCACCAAAGAGAGACAGGACGACTCCTGGGGCTTGTCAGTGAGCCTAAGAATGACAGTTGGGCCGTGCTGGCGCATACTTTTAATCCCAGCACTTGGGGGCAGAGGTAGCCTGGTCTACATAGCTAGTTGTAGGCCAGCCAGGGCAACACAGAGAAACACTGTCTTAAAAACAAACCGAAAGGATGGGACCCCTGAGTGCCCTGTGGGGAGCTTGGGAATACCTCTCCCTTAGGGGCCCCCAGTCTCTCCTGTTCTCTGCCCCTTAGTCACCCAGTCTGTCTCTCCAGTACCATCTCTCAAAGCAAATGCCACTCCTAAAAGGCAATAGGGCTTTGTTTTTAAGTTTCATTCTTTATTTCTGTGGTTTGCTGTTGCTGGGGTACATAGAGCAGATGCTCATTGAGTTATTCAACCCAGCCTTGGGTTCCCCAAAGCCTGCCTGTCCTCAGGGAGTGGGATGGTGTTGCTTTCACCCAGTGGGTGACACAAGCTGCTCCCAGAGTTTGATTTGCCCACCCTTCATGGTCAAGGGCAAGCAGGTAAAAGGCAGGGCTTCCTGGAGTGTGGAAGGATGGGGGTGGGCAGGGGTCCCATTCTTTTGTTTTTTTTCAAGACAGTTTCTTTGTGAAACAGTCCTGGCTGTCCTGGAACTTATGCTGTAGGCAAGGCTGTCCTCAAACTCACAGTGATGCGCCTGCCTCTGCCTCCTGAATGCTGGGATTATTATTATTTTTTTTTTTTGAGAAAGGGTTTCTCTGCAGCTTTGGAGGCTGTCCCGGAACTCACTCAGTAGACCAGTCTGGCTTTGAACTCAAAGAGATCCACCTGCCTTTGCCTCCCGAGTGCTGGGACACTCAGTTTGGGAGTCCCATTCTTAATGCCTTCACCTAATCATTTCCCAGTGACTCCCGAGAAGGAAAGTGGTCCCATCCTGGTCTCAAGTCTTCTTGCTCCTCCCCACTAGGTTGTCATCATCTGCCTGGTGATCTTGGATGCCCTCCTGGTGCTTGCTGAGCTCCTTCTGGATCTCAAGATCATCGAGCCAGATGAGAAAGACTATGCAGTCAAGGTATGCACATGGTACAAACACACGGGCTGCAGGTGTGTAGATGGTACGGGCACACTTGTGGTACACAGCAGGCCTCCCTGAGCTATGCATGCACACAGTTCAGGTCCATATGCAGCAAGATACACACACACACAGGGTGCTGCTGATGGGGTCAACTGAGTCACTAGATGCTCAGTGTGTGGGTGAGCCCATCTGCTTTCTCATTTGCCTTGGGCGTATGCCTTACTGTGGTGTGTTACAATCACTCTTACACTTTTGTCCCCAGTGGTCACTGTGAGCCTCAGTAAGAGAGCTGCATGTCCTTTTGACATGGCCACAGGAGTTGGCATATCCCCTTGCTTCCTGACTTCCTTAGTAAGAAACGGGGAACTCTTTAGGTACCACTAATCTGTATTGCTACCTCAGGGAGTGTGTGGCTTTGCCCCAGTGCTCAGCAGCAGAGTAACAGTTAGAGGAGGTGCCGTCACCTGTCTAGCAGATGCATTCATCCATTCATTCACAGGGTTTCTCTGTGCAGCAGTCCTGGCTGTGTTGTACCTCTGCCTCCTGAGTGCTGGGATGAAAGGCCTTCACCTTTTATGGGACAGTGACATTCTCCTCTCCACACAGACTTGGGATTCTGCCCATAGTACTGCAGTGACAACCAATGTGGCTTTGAGCAAGTTTCTGCCCAGCCATAGGTTGTGTTCCCATCAGTGGGGTGGCTGGGCCAGAGGACACTGTGGAGGGCTTGGGTTGTTCTGTTTTCTCCAGCACTGGAAAATAAAACCCTGGACTTGTGTGTGCTATGAAAGCACTCATGACAAGAGTGGCAGGCATTTTTTTTTTTTTTTTTTTTTTTCTGAGACAGGGGTTCTCTTTTCTGCTTTGGAGGGTGTCCAGTTGTAGACCAGGCTGGCCTCGAACTCAGAGATCTGCCTAACTCTGCCTCCCGAGTGCTGGGATTAAAGGCGTGCACCACCAACGCCTGGCCATTTTTACTTTTTAGTTGAGACAGTCTTACTCTGTGGCCCATGCAGGTCTTGGACTCTTGATCTTCCTGCCTCAGTTTCCCAAGTACTGGGTTGACAGTCAGGCCTGGCCAGGGATATTAAATACTGGAAACCTTGTCTGTGATGGTGATGACGGTCTTCAGCACTGAGTCCTTTCTGGTAACCAGGCAGGTGTGTGCAGAGACTACCCTGTGACAGTCAGTGCTCCTTGTCTGCTCTGTCTCCTCAGGCGTTCCACTACATGAGCTTTGCAATCCTGGTCTTCTTCATGGTGGAGATTTTCTTTAAAATCTTTGTCTTCCGCTTGGAGTTCTTCCACCATAAGTTTGAAATCCTGGATGCCGTGGTGGTGGTGGTGTCATTTGTCCTCGACCTCATCCTCCTGTTTAAAAAGCACCAGTTTGAAGCTCTTGGCCTGCTGATCTTGCTGCGGCTCTGGCGGGTGGCCCGGATCATCAATGGTGTGTCTCCTGTGCTCCTGGGCTGCGTGGGGGAGGGGAGGAAAGGTGGGGGTCACTGTGGTCGGTACTAAGGTGGCAATTCAGTCACCAGAGGCCTGGGATCTCATACCTGGTTTGTGTCATGGCTGCTGCCTCCAGGTAATCTGGAGAAAGGTAGATGGTGGTATTTGGTGATGAGCTGCTGCCTCTGGCTGCAGACTATGACTGCTCCAAAGGCATCTGACACTCTGGCCATGTTTTTGTGGTTGCCAGAAGGTAGTTATGGAAGGATTGGACAATTGCCTCGGACAACACAGGAGAGCATTCTCCAGAAGGGAGGCAGGTGGCTTAGCGAGCTCTGTGCTGACTGCCCAACCCAGGGTCCCCTCATGGAGCTCCCCCAATTTCCCGGAGTGACCACCCTGTTGCTGACACTTGCTACCATCCCCTGGCTTCTGGCTCTGAACACCTGGGGAAATCCTGCTCTGCCCAACTTCAGGCACAAACACTGCCCTGATAACTGTGTCTGAGGAGCAGTGCTTCTGTGGGGCCATGGCTGGCTGGTGGTTGGAGCTGTTCAGTCTTCCCAGGAACCACAGTAGTCAATTTCCAAGCTCTGTGCCCCTCAGCAGTTCTACTGCAGAGGGCCTGGGGTGTACTCAGAGGATCTAGATCATCAGCCAGGCTTGGGAAGCCTGAGGTGAGGGAGTGGCAGTGTGTGACCCACATTTAGGGTGGGTGTGTCCTCTGATGGGGCTGTGAACTCAGGAGCTGTGCTGGCACCTCTTGTCCCACAGCCCACTCAGGTTGGTACAGCTGCAGGTAAAGTAGGCTGCTGTGGCCTGGGATTACAAGTGATCACATGTCAGCCAGCTTAACTCTGTGTCATGTGGAGGCAAAGGTGGCAGGCTGATGACACATGGGGTTTAAATGAATTAATCAAAAGGACAGAGGTAAAGGTTTTTTAAATACACCATAGTGCAGCCATAGTGAGTAGACTAAGGGGGTGCCTTGCCTGAGAGGGACTGGAAGCCTCACATTGCAGCTGTGGCAGGCAACCTTATGGTACTCATGGGCCTTATTGGGGTTTATATCTAAGGGGCAGCACTGGTGTTTCTTGAGACTGGCCATGGGGTTGGGAACCATGGGTTATGGAGTTGTATAAGCATCCCAAGTTAGCAGGTCATGTGCCAACCTACCAGGGCCATGCTCCAGCATAGGGCTCTCTGATTTAACTTTTGGCCTTTTCATCTCCACACTCTAGACTCTGACCAAGGGAGACAAGCAGCTTTCACTTCTAGGAATGCTTGTCCTTGGGGAATGGAAACACAGGACCTGCAGAGACTGTGCCCATGGGGGCCACATGGAAATACTGCCTTACTGCATACTCTCTGTGCACCCCTGCCCCCCCCCTACACACTGTAATATTAAAGCAAGCTGTTGCACCATAACCCTCCCCTCCCTTCCAGGTATCATCATCTCAGTGAAGACACGCTCAGAACGGCAGATCTTAAGGTTAAAGCAGATAAACATTCAACTGGCCACCAAGATCCAGCATCTGGAATTCAGCTGCTCTGAGAAGGTGAGACTTGGGGGACTGGTTCCACTGCTGTCCCCTCCAGCCCACTACTGACCATTCTCCTGTAGCCCACAGCCCTGCCTGTTACTCCCTCTTCCTGGTCTTTCTGGCTTAAGTACCAGCTCCTGGAGCCAGGCCCAGTCCCTCCTCTGGGCATCTTGTTCCTGTAATCACTGCCCAGGGCCCTCCCCTCAGCAGCCAAAATGCCACAGATTGGCTCTTAGCTGTGTGTAGCCCCAGGCCTTCGGGAATGTGGCTCAGAAGCTCATCACCCGGTGTCTGTCTGCTTTTACAATAGGAACAAGAAATTGAGAGACTCAACAAGCTGTTGAGACAGAATGGACTTCTTGGGGATGGGAACTAGCCTTCCAGAAGCACCACCCTAGAGAAGCTGGGCTGTGGCCAGACAGCAATTGTGTGCTGACAAGTCCAGTCCTCATCTTTGCCTTGGCTTGCGCTCCCTGGATGCTGGGAACACATCTTTGTCAGCTCTGCTGCCTCTTCGGTGTGACCCAGAGCCACCTGTCCACGCCCTCCTTCTGCAGCAAGGAACCATAACCACCTTTTCTCACCTGGCCTCTGCTGTTGCTCAAAAATAGACAAGGAAGCTGGGCTTGTAAAACTTGATGACATCCTTCCCTCAGTGTGTAGGGACCAGCCCATCCTTTCCTAAGCACACCCTGAGAAGAACAGAAGCTGGCACCTTGTACCAGCCCATTCCAGAAAGCCTTTATTAGCTGGTCTGCAGATTCTCCTGCTGCATCCCCTAGGGGAGCTATCCTGGTGCCCAGTCTCCTCTGCAGCCTCCAGCTGCACCATCAGCTTCAAACTGGCTCTGTACCCACCAGCATCTCCCTCAATTACTATACAATTAATGTATAAAATAAGCACCCTCCTTCCCCTGGGCCCGCCTACCACATTCTCCCCTTGGTGGCAGCCCACAATAGCCCACCAGTTATAGAGCTAGCTCACTGCAGGGAGGGGGAACTGCCCTGTAATTAGCATCATCTTGGGGTGCAATGCCCTCGTGGGCACACGTTTTTACAGCCTCTTGTTGGTTTGTACTTCTCAAATGCTCATGGGCATTGTGAAGACAACTCCTGATAGATGAGGGTTAAGGCACTGAGGAGGCTTTCCATGCATTGCTACACTAGGTTCTCCCTCCCACCTCTCCAGAGGTGACAAGGCCTGTGACCTGTGTGTGCAGGATGCTGAAACCACCTGATGTGAGCCCCTAGCCTAGCAGAGTAACGCTTCCAAGAGGAAAGGCAGTGGAGAGGGGCAGAGCGCTGGTTTGAGGGTAACCAGCAACTGAGCTAGTGTCCTCCAGAGCCTTGCGCCGGGGTGCCCACTGCTGCAGAGGGGCCTTCAGGGTGGGAACTCACTCCCGAAGGGGCCACTTGCATCACACAAATGGGAAGAAAAAGCTGAAGGGCAGCCTGGCGTTGATGGTGGGTGGAGCTCGGAAGCCTGCCTCTGCAGGGGCTGACACGTCCACAAATGTCACTGTAGTGGAAATGACAATCGTCCTCTCAGGCCCTGGGAGGGGCTGTAACGGAAAGACAGAACAGGCACGCTCATCATCTTCTTCACTCAGCCATGGACACTGTCAGCCTGAGGCTGGCAGGTGCACAATGCTCCAGGCTGATTCAGTGTTCACAAGAATTACCGTCAGTGAGTTCTTCCCTCTTAAGTACAAGTTAACGAATGGTTATGAAATTGTTTTAAGACTCAAAATTACAATTGGGCACGATGGCACTTGCCCATTAACACTCAGGAGGCTGATGCCGAGAGTCACAAGTTCGAGACCAGCCTGTGTTCCATGAGAAGATCCTAGGTAAAAATACCAGACCCCCCCAAGGCACAGCAGCACTAGCTTCCTGTCCCTGAACCTGGGGGCTGTGACAAGAATCAACAGCTCAAGTCCAGCCTGGAGACCCTGTCTTAAAAAACTGAAACCCAAATACAAATTATAATCTTTCACACCAAGTAATAAACTCTTCCTGTCACACTTACTGTCTGTCACCTCACCTTCTGTCTTCACTTGCTCCTTTTATGGATTGTACTTTATTTCTTTCCGTGCTACACCCCAGCCCATGGAGATCATTGCCAGCAGGCCTACCTCTGGAATGGAGAAGATCTGGGCAGTGACATTCACTATCCTGGCTTGGGGGTTCAGCAGAGATCCATACTTAGTCCATTTCACTTCTATACCCAAAGCCACAGGGAGTTGGCAAGGGCCCTGCAAGAGAAAACTAGATTAAACCAGAATATTACACAACGGCAAGTCAAACTAAACTGGCAGTTGAGCACTTTAATTATAAAATGGTTGCCAATTACAAAATGTTCAGAACACAAGGATGAACACACTATCCAAGTTCAGGTACAAATAAGTTTACAGATCCTGAGTCATTACAGTACTCTCTGCTCCTACTACAGTACCACCCAGTGAGAAATGGGCCAGCACCTCCCATTCCCAAAACAAGGCCTAGTCACTGTGGAGTAGTACATTCCTGCTACCCAGTGGTGGGACCTTTGGGACCAACAGGGAAGAGACTATGACAGAATTTAACAGAGAAAAGGTGACCTTGATTGTAGCTCATGTTAGAATGCAAACAGAAACATGCTTTTATCTAATTTTATCAGCTAGCAATGAAGATACAACTTGGAGCTGGAGAGATGGTTCTGCAGTTAAGAACACTGGCTGCTCTGGGGTCAACCTCTAGTACCCACACAAACACCTGTACTCCAGTTCTAGGGGACCCAATACCCTTCTCTAGCCTCTGCAGGCCCTAGGCACCCATATGGTATACATACATACATACATACATACACTCCATATACAGAATTTTTTTCAATCTTAAAAAATGGCAGCTGGGCGTTGGTGCGCATGCCTTTTAATCCTAGCACTGGGGAGGCAGAGGCAGGTGGAACTCTGTGAGTTCAAGGCCAGCCTGGTCTCCAGAACGAGTGCCAGGATAGGCTCTAAAGCCACACAGAGAAATCCTGTCTTGAAAAAAAAAAAAAAAAAAAAAAGGCAGCTGGGCATGCTGGTGAATGTCTTTACCACCAGCACTCAGGAGGCAGAGGCAGGCAGATATCTGTGAATTTGAGGCCAACTTGACCTACAGAGTTGAATTCTAGGACAGCCAAGGATAGAGAAACCCTATCTTAAACCCTCTACCCCATCCACAAAAAAAAAAAAAAAAAAAAGACAAAACAGCTTGGGGCAGAGTCAATGTATGCAATCAAAGATAATGGTGCAGGGTAGGTGTAGTGGTGCACACCTAAATTCTAGCACTCGGGAGGCAGAGGCAGGCAGATGCTTTGAGCTCAAGGCCAGCCTGGCCTACACAGCAAGTTCTAGGACAACCAGGGCTGTTTAGAGAGACCCTGTCTCAAAAAACAAAACAAAGGTAACAGTGCTTCATCTGCACTGAGGAGGCCAGCATGGGGTTGCCCGAACTAAGGCTGGATCCTGACTCTGTCCCAGGACCTTTGCTTGGACAGTCCCAAGTTAAATGGACATTGGACCTTCCAGGCCGTCCTTTTGCCGGTAACTGTGGAAATGGGGAACCCACCAAGCTACGGTACTTCCCTGTATGTTAGACTCTCCGCATATATTTTCTCTAAACTATGTATCCTGGCATAAAAACCTAGCAGACCACTAAGCTAAACTGGAGACTGCCAAAAGCAGTAATGAATTCCTTAGCTTGCAAGGGCCTTTAGAAACCTTACCACTGAACCAGCTTGCCAGTATCCCATTGCTAGAAGAAACTGCAGGTGCAGTGGGTGTGAACAGCAGATGCCCTGGGCTTGCTTCCCCTGGCACTGATGACTGGTGTCTTTACCCTGTGCCAGAAAACTAAAAGCCATACCCCAGGTTCACTGGTGGCGGCACGGGGGTTAAGCAATCTTTGGAGTGGGGATCTGGTAAGGTTCTTGTCCCTACTACGCCACTCCTTATAAATATACAAAGCAGATAATAAGAGGCCTGAAGCAGCTGTGACAAGAAATAGCTGGGCAATTAGGGGAGAATGGAGTGCACACCTCCGCTGGGGACAGCCCACACTTTGCTGCTAGACAAAAGGAGGAGGTGGGTGGAGGAGTCACATGTGACCAGGAAGCTATTTGTAGCATGTCAGCTTCCATTAAACTCTTTGGGGAACTTTGGAACTGAAAGAGCTCATGTGTGGGTGGCTGCCATTATAGCCCAGAGGGCAAGGAATGAAAATGGTAAAGACAGGAGGCTACATCTCATGTTCCTCATGTCACCAAATGCCTGAGGAAGGCTTTACTGCACCACTGCTGTCCAGGCTGACCATCCTGCGTTTTGGATATTGGCATAGCCATGATGACTGAGAAATTCCTGAGACTAGACAGAAAATTCATTGTTCATGACCATCTCACTCAGTCAGCCTAGAGTTAATGGTATTTCAGTGGGCCCAAGTTTTGACCGTAGCCACCACCCATTGGTGGTGACATGTTGGCACTAGAAAAGTTTCTGATTTGGATGTCACATCTTTGGCTTAGGGGATTTCTCAACCACAGTGACTATGGTGGTCAGTCGAACTTCCAGTTTATGGAGTGGCCACTGTGTCCTGCCAACAGCCAAACAAACTCAACCCTCTCAACAGCCCAGTGAGGTCAGTGATGTCATTTCTGAAGGGCTCTAGAGGCCTGAGCATGGCAAACATGGCTCTGGTAGGCCTTGCCCTTCTCCCCCATTCCCTCTACTTTGCTAAACTGTTAGATTACATTCCTAAAGCCAGCCACCAAGGTCTGTTCCCTTATTTAGCCACTTCCTCCTCCTGAGACTTACTACCAAGGTCCAGCTATCCGAGTATTGAAGACCAGCAAGCAGAAGTCCCTTCTGACTGCCCTAATTAACATGTCCAATTAAAACAAATCAACTTATCCAAACAACAGGGTTTCCCTTCTTACCTTTATAAACTACCATGGGCCATATCGGTCTCCTTTCTATACAGAAGAGACAGACATGTCTCCTTTGTCTCTCCAGAGCAAATATCCCTCCCCATTTCCTTGTTCCTTTACCCTTCTCCCTCTATCTCCTGCCTTTAAATCTATTCCCTGCCCTCTGTCTCTCTGGGGCAAATAAATCACCTTTATGCTGAGAAACTGGTCTTGGGCTGTCTTGTGCTGTTTCTGGTCCTTTCAGTTTCCATGTCACAGGGAAGCAAACAGAGGCTTAAAAACTACTAACAAGCAGGGCGTTGGTGTCCCACACCTTTAATCCTAGCACTCGGGAGGCAGAGGCAGGCAGATCTCTGTGAGTTCGAGGCCAGCCTGGTCTCCAGAGTGAGTGCCAGGATAGGCTCCAAAGCTACACAGAGAAACCCTGTCTCAAACTCACCACCTCCAAAAAAAAAAACCCTACTGACAAAGGCATTGTGAAGAAGGGGCAGAGCTGGAAAGCCTAGCTTAGTTGCAGCCACCTCCCTCTCTCCCCGACCCACATGGCAGAGGAAGACACACTAGCAGGTGGCCCGCAACCTTTCGTTCACTCTTTACCTTCATGTTGGAGGAATGAGTGACATAACGCACAGGCACCCAGTCCTGCACATCCTGGGCCTGGGAATTCCCAAATGCAGCCACATAGTCAGGGAAGGCCTGGCCTCTCAGAAGGCCCTGAATCTTCTGTGCCAGGAGCCCACAGGGGATGGTGCCTGTCAGTCTTTGGGAAAGAAAGAGAGGCCAACTCAGGGAGGCACTGGCAACCTCAAGGAAATGCCAGATTCCAGGACACTTCCATCCTTTCTTCCTCTGCAATGCGATCATTGAATCCCTAAGGTGGTCCTGCCTTAGGGGCATCCTCGTCATGGAGATGATGCCAGTCTGTATTCCACCATCTCTCTCTACATCCGATGTGCATGGCCAGAGGCCAGGCAACACAGTGGTTTTCCCATATCCTGTCCTCCTGAAGGGTTCTGGCACAAGTGAGTTCCACAGGAGGGAAGGAGGGTTTACCAGGGGCTGCTGCCTCCTGGCATCCTGTGGGAAAGTGTTCAGTGGAACCTTCAGGAAGAAATGCTGGTCTGAGATCAGAGCTAGCAATCAAACTAATGACAGAGTCACTCCAAGGGTGTGGGAAAGATATGGGTGGAGAGGGGAATGAAGGGGACAAAAACATGTTTGTACAGAGTGGGAATTCAACAACAAATGCGCAGAACCAAAGATCCAGAAATGCCATTGCAGCACTCAGGAGGCTGTGGCAGGAGGATCAGGAGTTTGAGTCTAGTCTGAGCTATGCAGGGAGACCTCATCTCCCACATCTCATTCCAATTTTCACTCAGTGGTTCACTTATGCTGTAAAATTAAAAACCCAGAAATAGGAAGGACTTTCAAGGGATATATTTTCGCTCAGAACTCAAACACTATTTAACCTTAACCACAAGACACACAAAGCTCTGTGATCAGTCAGTCCTCTGCCATGTGTGGAATGGAAAGGCTACAGCAGTCTTGCTGGTGACCTGGTTATAATAGGAGAAAGGAGTGGCTTTCTCCTGCTTTCTTTGCCACAGTCACTCTCACCTGAGTTGACAGCCAGATTGCACATTGTAGCCAAACAACACTGGGTCCCGGAGTCCCTTGCTGGCAAGGCAGTCCTGCTCGCCTGTGCTACGAAGAATAGTAAATTGGCCTTGTCTGTTCGTTGTCTGAATAATCCCAGATATTTACAGGCTGTTAAGGGACAGGTAACAGTTCAAGAGCATCCAGAGTGTCCAGGAAGAAAATGACATCACTATATGACACAAGACATGAGTGAGGTGCAATTCCCTTCTCTGGGCCTCTTGGTTGTTCCCAGGAAGAGGCAAAGAAATGCTAGTAAATCTTCCCTTTGTCTGGCTCACCTTCAGAATTAGTTCCAGCCAGGTGTGGTGGCCAGGCCTATAATCAAGGCACTAAACAGGCTAAGGAGGGTTGCCCATTTAAGGATTCCTGAATTAGAATGAGTTCAAGACCAGCCAGGACAACTTGCCCAAATCTTGTTTCAAAATGAAGAGTAAGGAAAGGACTAAGGTACAGCTTAGTGGCAGGGTGCTGTCCTAGTTTGCTCAACTCCCAAAGGAGGATCTCTGAGTTTGAGGTCGGCCTGGTCTGCACAGTGAACTTCAGGACATAGAGTAATCCTGTCTCAACAAAACAAAAACAAAAGTGAACCAATGAATGATTCCAACCATTCTGCCTCCAGGAGTCCTTGTTTTTTGTTTGTTGTTGTTTTGTTTTTTTCAAGACAGGGTTTCTCTGTGTAGTCCTGACTGTCCTGGAACTCACTTTGTAACCCAGGCTGGCCTTGAACTCACAGAGAACCCCTGCCTCTATCTCCTGAGTGCTGGGATTAAAGGTATGCACTACTACCGCCCAGCTTACACTGTCATCTTCCCCCAAAGTACCAGTCTCTACGTCCACCCAGACCTACCTCATTTCACTGGCACAGAGAAGCTCTGGCCAGTCCAGTGCCTCTCTCCCACAGGCTGCCCGCCCACTGCATTCTTGGCAACAAATGGAAGCATAGTCCATCCATGCAGACAGGGAAGGTGACCTTCTCCACAGATTCAAAAAAGGATACCCCTTCTGAGGCTGAAAGCCAGCGGCCAGCGGGAGTCCCACCCTGTAACCAGGGTTGCCACTGCAAGGAACAGGCTTGGTGCCATGCTGAAAGACAAGGGGTTGTCCTGTGCAATACTACTTAGGCAGCACCGGGGGCAACACAGTGTTCCTCATGATAACATCTGGAAGAACAGCTCCCCTGTTCTGAAGTATAAACGGATCCCGGAGAGTGGGAGGACAGCATCCAGCTCCCAGGCAAACCCCACACACCACTGCAAGTGCAGGCTGGGAACTGGGTCATACTTCTAGGCTGCTCCTCCCCAGAAGTCAGGCTTTCCTTCAACTTGACAGCCAAATAATGAACAGAATACTCAAACTTACCTGAATAAAGTGTATCTCAAACTTCTGCTGCAGGAGAGTCACTGTGCTGCTGAATGTCCCCAGTACAAGGGAAAGGCTGGCTTCTTGTATCTGGCCGGTGGCTGTGTACAGCAGGCTGTATTTCACCTGGGACAGAATGGGGCTCATCCACCTCTGCCCACCATGGCTCAGCAGCCATGTTCCCACCTCTAATGAAGCAGCCACAGAAAAGCCACAACCTCCAACTCTGCTGGTCCAATCTCATCAGTGATGTCCCCTCAGCATCCCAGTGGACAGAGTCACCTCAGTCTCTCTATACCCAATTTTTTGATCTTTCAGATCAGCTGACTCAAGCACAATTCAAACAGCCTGTTTCTGTAGAAGTGACTCCAATCAAATAAATGGTGGTGACAATAAACTGTGGGTGTGGTACACATATGTGAGAGTGTGTGTGAGTGTGCATGTGTGTATTCATGCATGCACACGTATAGGCTACAGCACGCCACTGGGTGTCTTCCTCTGGAACTCTCTGCCTTATTGCCTTGAGACACAGTCTCTCATTGAACCACAAGCTCTCTATTTCAGCCAGGCTGGCTGGCCAGTGTCCTCTTGGGATCTGCCTGTGTGTCCCCCAACACTGGGGTTACAGCCAGTTGTCGTAGCCATGTTTGTCTTTTTTTACATGGTTGCTAGGGATTCAAACTCAGGTCCTCATGCTTGTGGGACAAACATTCTTACTCGACTGAGCCATCTCCCCAGCACAACAAGAAAATTTGGCTGTAGTCTTGCAAGGTGTTGGATTTATGGAAACATGTAAAGATGTGTCCTCTGATGAGACAGCAGAGCAGCAGAAGCAACTGGAGGCCAGACAAAGAAAAGCACCATCACAGAACGGGTGGGAGCTCTCTCTGGAGGGTACGCAGCTCCCCAGTAGGCCACAGGTGGGAGTCAGGCAGTCAAAGCAGGACTGCCAAGGCACACTGGGCACCCACCTCGAGAACAACGTTGCTGCAGAGTCTATCCTGCCCAATGCTGACCAGAGATGGCCGCAATATGCCACGACTTTCTAACCCGGTCAGCGTGTGATTGAGAGACCGATACATGACAGACTGAACCTTGATGGAGACCTGGGAGGAAAGACAACCTTGGTTATGAGGCTACTACAGGCTACATATAACACAGTTACTCTGTTACAGCAACCAAAGTCTAAAATGAACCTTTCATAACAATGATGCAAATGTGCACTGCCATGCACTGCGCACGCTGCAGCTATTTCCATGTAAACACGCACACATACATGCACATATGGTCAGAGGAAAGCAGAAAGCAGCGTTCTAAGATGCCTATTCATCACAGAGATGGAAACAGCCCAAAAGTCCATCTGCAGAAGGAACACTACCCAGTCATAAAAACCAAATCCCAAAACATCAAGTGAAAGAACCCAGACACCAAAGGTCATGTATATTGCGATTCCACTAAACATGGAATGTCCGTCCGCACAGGCAAATCCATAGAACAAAAGTGGTCATCATAGACTGGAGCAGAACAGATATAACCCCAGAGTGATGATTAAGGGAGACGGGGATTCTTAGGGGTGATAAAACATCCTGGCGTTAGATGCTGGCACCACCCTGTGATGACGCCTGATGCCACAGAACAGTCAGAACCCTCAACTTCAGCAACCCCTTGCCTCAGGAGATGCACTCAGCTTTCACAAGGCACCTCACACAGCGGCTGGCTAGGTAGGCAGCAGGTCTGAGGAAAGACAGCCAGACAAACTTTTTAAGGAACATTTGGCATTGTGACAAACAGCAGAAGAGTGAGAAAGCAACAAGCAGTCACCTGAAGACAGCTAAGCTGCTTCTGACAGGACTCTCCACTTCAACTCTTAGAAGCAACCCAAAACACCCGCTCTTCACACTGTCTTCAATTAATGCGAAGCTGTTTATAACTTAAACTAGCAAGTGTCGGAGCCTTTGTTTCACTTTAGAAACAAAGATGCAGTTTTTACACACCTCTCCCAAGAACAAGGCAACCTACAACTGTCCTTCCAGGTCAAAATCACTTGCTCCCATGGGGACACAGTATGGGGACATGGGCGATAGGAAAAAAAAAGCAATTTCCACAACTCTGCCTACCAAGCTGCCCCAACAGCTTGAGTCAAGTGGGGAACCCTGGGCTGTGACTTACAGATACCATGTGGTCTGGGATCAGTATGGAACAATAGATTCAAAGTACTTTCTAGAGGCTGGAGGGTCATCACAGAAAGGCCTAGCACATCTTTTGCTTTCTTTTGTTTGAGAACAGGATCTCACTGTGTTGCCCGGGCTGTCCTGGAACTCTATGTAGATCACACTGGCCTTGAACTCACAGAGATCTGTTTGCCTCTGTCTTCCAATTACTGGAATTAAAGCTACTTGCTTCTATGCCTGGGTAAAAATAAATATTTTTAAAAAACTTATTTTATGTATGAGTGCTCTCCATGTACACCTGCATGCCAGGAGAGGGCATCAGATCCTATTATAGATGGCTGTGAGCTACCATGTGGGTGCTGGGAATTGAACTCAGGCCCTCTGAAAGAGCAGTCAGTGCTCTTAACCTCTGAGCCCCAAAAATAAATCTTAGAAAAAAAAAGTAGAATGTAATACCCATGGGTTGACCCCTGGCCAACAACATCCGCACACACATGTATACACTCCTGCTATCCCCAGCCACAGAGACAGACAGAAATGCTTTTACCTGTGTTGTTGAATTAGGTACCTAGAAAAAAATAAACCACAATAAACTTGGTTAGGCACAAGAATAGATGCATTTCTACAGCCTTTTCAGACTTCAGCTAATGGCTACTTTCATCCACTAGAGACATCACTAAGACGCCAGCAGTGTCTCCACTCAGGACTGACCCCTCCCTCATGTTTCCAGCTGTGTGCCAATCACTCTATTTCCTTCTACAACCTCACCATTCCCTATCACCTCAAGGCCCTGCTGTTCTTGAGAGCCCACTTAATTTATTTATTTGTTTGTTTGTTTTTCAAGAGAGGGTTTCTCTGTGGCTTTGGAGGCTGTCCTGGAACTAGCTCTTGTAGACCAGGCTGGTCTCGAACTCACAGAGATCCACCTGCCTCTGCCTCCTGAGTTCTGGGATTAAAGGCATGCCCCACCAACGCCCGGGCAGAGAGCCCACTTTTTATGGTGCTGTCCAAGACTGTTAACATCACAGACATTAAAACACCAGATAATTTCTAAAGTTGTTAGCAGTCATTGAAGACTTGGCCTTGGTCAGCTGCTATCAAGGTGAATGATGGAAATTTAGAAACTAAATAGAAACAAGAAAGTTAATTACATACAAACTACATAAAGATCACTTCCGCAGCCACTGATGCCACAGTGTTAGAGAACACAACCTCCTGCTCAGATCAGGCATGTGCTGAGATCACTCTATACCTTGGAGGGTACAAAGAACAGAACACAGCTGTGTGTCCCAATGAGCCTTACCCTCAGAATGGCAGGGCTGCTGTAGTGAGCCATGCTGAGGGCTCCCATTCCTTCACACTCTTCTATGTCCACCCTTCGGCTGCATTGGAAGGCCTGGCTCACCAGGAAGGCTGGAAAAGGTAATACCGCAGGGGTGTGTGGGGTGGGGTAGGGTTCAGCTAGTGCATGGGAACTAGAACAGTCATGTATTAAAGGCAAAATAATCTACAACACAAATGCAGCATGTTTAAAATGGGGCTTAAAAACTGGGTTTCAACTAGGAAACACGCACACAAAATCTAAATTTAAGAGGCACAAAAATACTGCACAGTGTCCCCTCCAATTCTGTCCCCTACCCAGGTCCCTGCCCCAGAGGGAGGAGCATGACTGCCTGCTGAAGCTTTCAGAAATACTATGCAAATCAAATAAAACACATACGTAAAAAGTAGTTTTTTTTTCTTTAACAATCACTTTCCCCTTTTGGACACAGATGCACACACGATACACTCTACTATGCATTTTTTCCATGAGCAATGAATGCATCCTGAAGTCATTCCAGCAGCCATGAAGGGATAATTAGTGTTCTCTTGTGGATGTGGCATAATTACTCCCCAGTTCCCTGCTAATGGCCACTGCAGTTGTCTCTGCCTTGGCTGTCGCTGTCAAGTCTGCATGGGGCTTTTGCATGTGGGCCAAGCCTTCCTGCAGGAGCTTCCGTAATTTTGATCCATATGTTACACTGCCCTTAGCAGGGTGGGACCAACTGTTCCACCAGCTACTGCAGGAGACTATCTATTCCCCACAGCTTCAAACTCTCTGAGCTTTGTCGTTCTAAAAAGTGGAAATGGCTTCTTTGGTTTGTTCACTTTTTGAGACAAGGTCTCACTATGCAGCTCAGGCTAGCCTCAAGTTGGTGGTTCTCCCTCCATCTCCTAAGAGCTGGGGTGTGAGGCATGCCCAATGCACCAGGCTTCAGCTGGTTTTAACTGACATTGGCCTACTATGTGCAGGGAAGCTTATTCTCTACAGAACTTGTTATCCAGTCACTCATTACAGCTGCTCACAGCTGGCTGAGGGTTAGAGAGCCATGGCTTTAGCTTTCTCTTGCCCAGGCCCTCGGCCTTGGCTTCTCTGCTCTCCTGGAAGAAGTGGGTCTTTCCCAGGCACTTGAGCACAATGGTTTTAGTGCTCCCACTGTGAGACTCAGCTCAAGAAATGCTACACAAGCAGGCGTGGGGTGCACACTTGGAATTCCTGAACTAGGGAGACTGAGTTGGAAAGACCAGGATGAGGTACACTGAAAACAAGCAAGAGCCAGGCAGGGTGGCACATGACTTTAATTCCAACATTGGGAAGGCACAGGGGGACACAGAGGCAGGAAGGTCTTTTTGTGAGCTCAAGGTCAGCCTGATCTATGTATGGACTTCTGAGCCAGCTGGGGCTATATACATAGTGAGACACTGTCTCAAAAAACTAAAAAAATAAAAGAAAAGCTCATGAACCCCAATCTGACAGCTGGGGAACCAGCATAGGACCGACCCAGAACCCTGAACATGGGTGTCTGTTAGGAGGCCTGGGCAGTCTATGGGGCCTCTGGCAGTGGAACCAGTATTTATCCCTAGTGCATGAATGAACTTTGGGAGCCCATTCCCCATGGAGGGAAACTCTCTCAGTCTAGATACACAGGCGAGGGCCTAGGCCCTGCCCCAAATGATGTGACAGACTTGGATCATCCCTCATGTAAGGCCTCACCCTCCCTGAGGAGGGGATGTGGGGTGTGATGGGAGATGAGGGGGGCAGGGGACGAAGAGAGGGAGATGGAACTGAGTTAGATATGTAAAATAAGACTTTCTAATAAAAAAGAAAAAAACTAAAAATAAATAAACAAAACAAGTGAAAAGAGACCGGAAGCCTCACCATTCCACTTCTGAAAAACAAAGAAACAAACCAAACCAAACCAAACAAACAAAAAAACTAGTGATGTTAGCATGTCCTCAAGGGATACTGTGAAAACAATTTTAAATTTGTTACCACATTTGACTTGTGGGTTGGTGGGACATGAGAGAAACATGGGTGGAAGGGAAGGCAGAGGATAACCTATGGGAGTCAATTTCCTCTCTCCAATCCATGAGTCTCAGAAGTTGTCAGGCACCTTTACCTGCCATGTCACTGGCCGCTGGGTGAAGGTTAACCAGAGGAACCAGCCCCATACAGCATGGCAACCAGCACACATAAGTGCTTAGTCAAATGCTGTAGAGATCAGTCATCCTGGAAGTGTGTACCTGTGTGTCACTGTCTGCAAGGCTTACTGCAGTGTTCAGGCAGCCATTGACCAGGGTAGAAAGCACCTCTTCAGGTAGGCAACCCTCGAGACCTGGCTCCTGAAGTCTTTAGGCTATGAAGTCTGATAACTGGCAAGCTTACTCTACTAACGAGAAGGGCAGGGGCGGTCTCTTACCTGCAGGGTTCTCATCTGTGCACAGAGATGACGAGAGAGGTGAAGGCAGTCGAAGAAATGAACCGGAAGGTGTGCCTGCAGTCTGCAGAGGGTCTCCATACTGCAAGCACAGAACCCACCGGTGAGGCAAGGTGCTCCTTCAAAGTGAACTGAACACATGGCAGTGCCCACATAGCTATGAGTTTGGGGACACAGTGTTTGAGGACAGTCCCTGCCACACAGGGCTCATTCTCAGCTGTCAACCAGATCCACACACACTTTTTAAAAATAAATGTGAAGCTTCATGTGGCAGTGCACTTTTTTTTTTTTTTTTTTTTTTTTTTTTTTTTTTTTTGGTTTTTTTTCGAGACAGGGATTCTCTGTGGCTTTGGAGGCTGTCCCGGGACTAGCTCTTGTAGACCAAGCTGGTCTCGAACTCACAGAGATCTGCCTGCCTCTGCCTCCCGAGTGCTGGGATTAAAGGCGTGTGCCACCAACGCCCGGCAGCAGTGCACACCTTTAATCCCAGCACTCAGAAGCCAGAGGCAGGCGGATCTCTGTGAGTTTGAGGCCAGTCTGGGCTACAGAGTGAGTTCCAGGCCAACCTCCAAAGCAATTCAGAGAAACCCTGTCTCAAAAAAACATAAATAAATAAATAAATAAATAATTGAGAAGTTTTATGTGGCAGCACACACCTTTATTTCCAGCTTTCAGGAAGCAGAAACAAATGGATTTTTTATGTGTTTGAGGCCAGTCTGGTCTATGTAGTCCCAGACCAGCTAGGGCTACACAGCCAAAACTGTTGTGTAATAGTTTACTCCAAGATTGAAACATTCTACCCTGCAGGGAAGCTGCAGGAAGGCAAACAACTCAAAGGGGCTTCAGGAAGTTCCTGAAACTGACTGGATTCACTAGGCCCCTCCCTGCCAGAGTAAGCAATAAAAGCAGAGAGCCCCTTTGAGACTAAATGAACAAAGCTGCAAAGGAGACTCTCAGACCAGACCAGCTGCCTGGTAGAAGCAGTAACTAACCTGAAAGAGGTTTAGACTAGTGATTTTCAACCTGAGGGGTCAAATGACTCTCACAGGTGTTACCTAAGACCATCTTGTATATCAAATAATAAATAAATAAGTAAAAATAAAGGCAGAGGCAGGCAGATCTCTATGAGTTTGAAGTCAGCCTGGTCTACATAGCAAGGTCCAGGACAGTCAAGGCTATATAGTGAATTTTTTGTGTGGGGAGGAACAGGTGGTATTGACACCACGGCCTGGAGCACACTAAGCATGCACTCTACCAATAAGAGCATTTCCATTCTTACTGAGGCTCTTCCAATGCTGACAACTAGTCTCTATCTTACTTTCCTTTTCAAAGGGTGCTTCGGAAAAGGTTATTTTTCCCTTCCTTTTCCATTTTAATGTGTGTGTGATATAACTGTTTGTAGATGCATGGACACATGGATACAGGGGCAAATGGAGGCTTGAGGTGGATGTCAGGCATCATTCAGTCATTTGCCCACCTGAGTCAATGAAGCAGGGTCTCTCAATCAAACCCAGAGCTTTCAGACAGAGCCAGTCTGTAGCTAGTTAGCTCCTGGGGATCCCATGTCCACCTTCTGGTGCCGAAATGACAGACAGGCCATTACTCCTCCATCAGCATTTACAAGTATAGTGGAAATTTGAACATCCCTCTTCATGTTTGTGGCTTCAAGTAGTTAATCCCTCAGTTATCTCAACAGCCTTCTTGTTTCATTTTCAGGCAGGGTTACATGTAGCTTAGACTGCTTTAAATGTGAACTCCAGGTACTCCTACCTACACCTCCCAACTGCTGAGATTATATGTAGGTGCCAGTACACCTAGCTTTTAGAAAGTACAATGTTTTATTTTTAATTTTTTGGGGTTTTTTGAGACAGGGTTTCTCTGTGGCTTTGGAGGCTGTCCTGGTCTACTAGCTCTTGTAGACCAGGTTGGTCTCGAACTCAAAGAGATCAGCCTGCCTCTGCCTCCCAAGTGCTGGGGTTAAAGGTGTACGCCACCACTGCCTGGCCTAGAAAGTACAATGTTAATGGGTCATATTTTACTGGTTTGCTAATGAAGAGATATATAAAATAACACACAACTTCCTAGTGTCTGTAAAACAAAATGTAATTCTGAGACAAGGACCTGACATCCAGGCAGTCCACTCCCCATGCCCAGAGACAGGCTTCAATCATTTTGCTACACTCTCTTAGGCTGAAAAGAACAGAAAATTTTGCAGAGATAAAATTCAACTGCAGAGCTGGGTGGTTGGTGGCACATGCCTTTAATCCCAGCACTCAGGAGGCAGAGACAGATGGATATCTGGGAGTTAAGGCCAGCCTGGTCTACGAAGTGAGTTCCACCATAGCCAGGGCTATGAAACCCCCGTCTCAAAAAAACAAACCAAATAAAACAAATTCAACTGCAAAAGTGACCTCAAATCATGGGTTCAGAATTTGAACAACTCATTTGAATTCCCATGGTCTTTGACTGAGAGGAACAATGATGGCTCTCAGTGGTGTCACCTATGTCCCAAAGGCTGGCAGTTTGAGTTTCTATGTTGAGACTGAAATTAGCTTATAAGGACAGAGTATTTCAGGATATATAAGAGACTGCCATCAAGTTGTTGGCTTACCTTGTATTTAGTGGGCTGTGGAGTATCTGATATGGCTGCGGAAGGAACATCTGATTCAGCACTCAACGTAAAACCACCTGATGCTTGCATCAGTCTGTCAAAATAGTCTTCGTTGGGCACTTCTGGATTAGCAAAGGACAGTGCAGGTTTGTCTGTTTTTAGACAATGCATTGAAAATCAGCAAAAATGTAGGGAGTATGTGACATCCCAACTTTGGAAACCCATTTTTAGTAGCAACAAAACTGATGTTACCAGCTGAACAGTGGTGGTGCACACCTTTAATCCCAGAACTTGGGAGGCAGAGGCAGGTGAGATCTTTGTGAGTTAGAGACCAGCCTGGTCTACAAAGTGAGTTCCAGGACAGCCAGGGCTACACAGAGAAACCCTGTCTTGAAAAAAAATAAAATAAAAAAACAAAAAACAAAAAAACCAAAAACCAAACAAAAAGACTAATATAAGAAAAGTTTTTCTGGGCTGTCTAGATGGCTCAGCAGGTAAAGGCACTTGCTGCCAGGCCTGACACCTGAGTTTGATCCCCAGGATCTACCTAGTGGAAAGAGAGAACTAACTCTAGAAAAGATGCCTGTAACCTATGCACACATGTACACAGACAAATAAATGTAACTTAAAATGTATTCTTGTTGGGTGGTAGTGGCACATGCCTTTAATCCCAGCACAGGTAAGAGACTGGTGGGTCTGAGTTCAAGTTCTATAGAGTGAGTTCCAGGACAGTTAGGTTACATAAAGAAACACTGTCTCAAAAGAAAAGGAAAAAAAAAAAAAAAAGGTTTTCTTGTATATTTGACTCTCCTGGGATTTCTTGAGGCTTGTTAATGAACAAGATCCCTAATCATCATGAGTTCAAGACCACCCTAGTCTATATGGTGAGTTCCAGGCTATCCAGGGATACACAACAAGAACCTGTCTTGAAAAATCAATAAGCAAACACGCAGGATCACTAGACTTGGCTGCATCTAACAGTGTGGTTGGTAGTAATTGCTTCGAAGGTCTGCAGGGAAACAACATAGCACAAGCCAAGGGACAGAGCTGGTCACTTTCTCCAGAACACAGATGGGCATCTGCTTCTTTCCCCTTCCAGGGGACACTCACTGGGTGGCTGTGGGAAAATAAGACTCATTCATCTCTTGGTAGCCACCTCCGTGCTGGACATGAAGCGGGAGGAAACAGCAGGCTCCATGTCCACTAGGCTGCAGTTATGACTTAGTCATTGTCAGTTGTCCCTTACGATAAATCACAACACATTCCCCCAAGTCTTTAATCACGAGGGAACAAATCCCAAATATGGATAGATTTGGGAACGAGATGATGTGTGCCTCTGCTCTTTGCTATCCTGAGAACAGCACATACTCAGGAGCAACACACTGCCTAGGCTGACTGCTCAGGTAAAAAAAAAGATTCTGTATGCATGCAAATACTCTTAGTAAAAATAAAAGAGAAAAAGGAAATGGAAACCACAGGTAAAATTTAAAGATGAAACTGACTTTCAACTATTGCTCCAAGAGGAAACAAAACGTGCACGCATGCACACATGCACATGTGTGCACATGCACACACAACCTGGATTCGTATGTCTACATGGCACAAACATCTTTGAAGTCAAGTCAAGATAAAGACAGCACAAGGACTTGAAGACTGTGTGCCAAGGATCTATAGTTACTTGTAAATCAGTCCCCAGCCTTGAATTATTCACTTGACCGAAACACAGAACAGGTACTTTAAATGGAACTGAATGAGGCGTTTCCCCAAAAGTCACTTGTAAAAGAAAAACAGGGCTTCACAAAATGTATCCAATTCAAATACTTACAGTTGGAAATACGGATGCAGAAGATGGATGGGTTGATCTGGTCAATGAGTTTAAAGACCCGGTGAGGAGGGTCTGCTGTCAAATTCATTGAGTAGATGGCTGCCTTCTGACTACAAAAATGCCTATCACCCCTGAAAGTTAAAGAAAGCAACAGCAAGTTTTTAGTCCACAAGCTAAGCCAGATCATCCTTAATTTTCCAGATGCCTGCAATACACTAGGAAGAACCACAAAAACACTGATGGAGTCTGAAGTCACCACAGAACCCATTGGTATTAATTTGCTGTTACAGTGTGGCAGAGAAAGAAGACAAGCAGACTAATTTTTGTCAGGCATGGTGGTGGCCTGATAAAAGCACTGGGGTGGTATAGAAAAGTGGGCGTTGGTGGCGCACGCATTTAATCCCAGCACTCTGGAGGCAGAGGTAGCTGGATCTCTTTGAGTTCGAGACCAGCCTGGTCTACAAGAGCTAGTTCCAGGACAGCCTCCAAAGCCACAGAGAAACCCTGTCTTGGGGAAAAAAAAATGGCTCTGTGAATTCAGGTCTACATAGCAAGTTCCACATCAGTCAGAGCTACACAGAGAGACCTATCTTGATACATATACATACATACGGTACTCCTGTGTTCATGAAGGTTCCATCTGATGGGGAAAAGATTTACTCAGGATGCTCATCTGTAGATTTCCAGTCATTACATGACAGGAAGAGTTGTTAAATGGAATGAAACCTTTATGAATTGAAGACTATGTAATGGCCCACTCTACAGATTAGCATTAGGACTTTGGGTATTTCTTTCTTTCTTTTTTAGAGATAAGGTCTCCCAATAACTTTCCAGGCTAGTTTCTAACACAGTAGCTCAAGTGATCCTCCTGCCCCAGGCATCCCCAATGAGTTGCAGCTACTGAGGAGTGTAATTTAGTTTATAAGTTTTTGGGGGGCGGGTGTATCGCAAACAAAACTGGGTTTTAAAAAACCTATGTCTTGGGCTGGAGAGATGGCTCAGGGGTTAAGAGCACTGACTGTTCTTCCAGAGGTTCTGAGTTCAATTCCCAGCATCCACATGGTGGCTCACAACCATCTATAATGTGATCTGGTGCCCTCTTCTGGAACGTACTGTATACATGATAGATAAATAAATAAATAAATAAATAAATCTTAAAAAAAAAAAAAAAAAAAAAAAAAACTAAGTCTTTTCCTGCGAGATTTAGCCCTAACCCTTATAGCTGGTTTTTAAAAACTCTTTTAGGGACCCACCACCCAGCTCCCAATAAATACATGGTGACTTATTCTTTCTTATGAATGCCTGGCCTTAGCTTGGCTTGTTTCTAGACAGCTTTTCTTAACTTAAATTACCCTATCTACCTTTTGCCTCTGGGCTTTTTCTTTCTTTAATCTATATGCCTTTCTTCCCTTCTTACTCGGTAGCTGGCCATGTGGTTGGCCCCTGGCTTCCTCCTTTCCTTTTCCTTTTCTTGCTCCTCCCTTTTCTCTTCTTTTCTATTTGTTCTCTCTGCCTGGCAGCCCCACCTGTCCCTATCCCCTGCCCAACTCTTAATTAAACCAATAAGATGTTTTAAGCAGGCAAAGCAACACAGCTTTACAGAGTTAAACAATTGCAACATAATGCAACAATCTTTGCATCATTAAACAAATATGCCACAGCATAAATGAATGTAACACATCTTAAACTAATACTCCACAACAAACTCTGAAGTCTACAAAGGAGGTATTTTTATAAAGCTTTATAGAACACAGGGCCACTTACTCATCCACATATCAGTGGCAGGAGACTTTTGCTCTGCTGCAACACACACCATGTGACTGGTGAAGACTAACATATTTCCTAGCTGGTCCTTTACAAAGCTTGCCATTCTCTGTTCTCAAAACTGTAGTTTACATCTAGAATCACCATACTTGGGGACCAGCAAGGTGGCTCATAGGGTAAATGCACTTGCTGCCAAGTCCCATGACATGAGTTTGATTCCCAAGACCCACAAGACAGAAGGAGAGAACTGACTCCCTAAAGTTGCCCTCTGACCGCCACATGGGAGCTACAGTATGAACATACATACACACAAAGTAAATAAAATCTCATTTAAGGGCTGGAGAGATGGTTCAGAGGTTAAGAGCGCCAACTGCTCTTCCAGAGGTCCTGAGTTCAATTCCCAGCAACCACATGGTGGCTCACAACCATCCGTTATGAGATCTGGTGCCCTCTTCTGGTGTGCAGATATACATGGAAGCAGAATGTTGTACACACAATAAATAAATAAAATATTTTTTTAAAAAAATCTCATTTAAAAAAGTTGCACAGGAGCCAGGCGGTGGTGGCACATGCCTTTAATCCCAGCACTTGGGAGGCAGAGGCAAGCAGATCTCTGTAAGTTCAAGGGCAGCCCAGTCTTCAAAGAGAGTTCCAGGACAGTCTCCAAAACCTACAAAGAAACCCTGTCTCGAAAAACCAAAAACCAAACAAACAAACAAAATTGTACAGGGCCAGTGTTATGATGCACACATTCAATTCCAGTACTAGAGGCAGAAGCAGGCAGATCTCTGAGTTCAATGCCAGGCTGGTCTACATAATGAGTTCCAGTACAGCCAGGGCTGCATAAAGAGACCCTGTCTCAAAAATTCAAGGGGTCAGTGCAATGACTCATCATTAGTTAGAAGTGTGCACTGCTCTTAAAGAAGGTCCGAGTTTGATTCCCAGTACCCATGTTGGGCAGTTCACAACCTATGACTCCAGGTCCAGGGGATCACCCTCTTCTGGCCTTAGCAGGGAACTATGCTCATGTGCATACCCTCTCCCCCACCCCACCTAAGACACACATGCATACACACGATTAAAAATAATAAAGGTAGCTCTGCTCTTCTCTTTTCTTCTCCCACCTATGCTCTCTCTGCCTCTCTACGGCGACCGGCCATGGCCATCAGCCATTAACCCTGTTCCTCTTCTCTCTTAGTCTCTCTACTCTGTTGGGCCTATAATAAACTGGTTAATATGTCTAAAACAAATAATAAAGGTAGCTGGGTGGTGGCATAGAACACCTTTAATCCCAGCACTCAGGAAGCAGAGACAAGCTGATCTCTGAGTTCAAGGCCAGCCTGGTCTACAGAGTTCCAGGACAGTCAGGGATACACAGAGAAACCCTGTCTCCAAAAACCAAAACCAAAACCAAACCAAACCAAACAAAAAACCCAAAACAAAAAACAAAGGGGGGGCATGGTGGTGCACATCTTTAATCCCAGCACTCAGAAGCAGAGACAGGTAGATTTCTGTGAGTTTGAGGCCAGCCTAGTCTATATAAAAAGTTCTAAGCCAGCCAGGACTACACAGTGAAACCCTGTCTCAAAAAAAAATTAAATTACTATATTTTAATAAATGACACTCCAATTCAAAAATGACATTCTCGAAGGGCTGGTGGTGCATGCTTGCAGACCCAAGACAAGAGCAGACTGATTTTCAAGGAAGGCTAAACCATGCTCTAGTCCTGGAGGCCAGAAAAGGACCTCCTGCAGCAACCTGTTCTCTAGGCTTCTTCCCAATATTTGAAAGGGATTCGGTTTCTCTGCTGGGTTGATAAAATGGTTTCTCATGGGAAGAGTCCATTGTGTTTCCATAAGGACTAAGTCTGCCAGGTAGCTGTGACTGAATTTCAGTAAGCTCTCTTCTGCAGTAAGTGGGTCCCACCCCAAACGCATGAGCCTTTTCAAAGGGCTGCTATTTTTTTTGCAAAAACCTCTGAAACACAAGAGATCACTCAGAACTGATCACATCTTCACCTTGTACTCCCATGAGAATGTCTCTCTCCATCATTTCCCATGCACTGTGAACTGAGACTCCTTGCTTTGTTTAAAGCCAGAGAGGTACATGCAAAGCATCCAACTAACTAGTTAATATCCATAGAAAGGGCTGGGAAACACAGGGGCAGGAGAGGTGGCTCATGGGTAAGGTAGTCGCCTCAGAAACATGAGTGTCAGTTCAGATCCCAGCATGTATAAAAGCTAGGTCAAACAAACAAACAAACAAAGAGTTCCATGTTCAGTGTGAAACCCCATCTTAAAAATTAAGGTGGAGCTGGGCAGAGGTGGTGCACACCTTTAGTCCCAGCACTTGGAAGGCCAGTCTGGTCTACAGAGTGAGTTCCAGGACATCCAGGGCTAACCAGAGAAACCCTATCTCGAAAAAAAATAAGCAAAATTAAGGGGGAAAGCAACAGATGATGAGACCCATGTTGAGCTCTGGCCAAAACAGCATGAATGCCAAGACAAGCATATATACATACATACATGCATACACTATACAAATACAAAGGTGCACACAGACAAATTTACAGGTACAAACTGGTGACACATTATCTGTGCACAACTCAAATATTAACCAACAAACACAGAGAGTCTTACTTCATAACACTCAGCCTTCCTGATGCCACGACCCTTTAATACAGTTCCTTATGCTGTGGTGACCCCAATCATAACTTTATTTTGTTGCTACTTCATGACTGTAATTCTGCTCCTGTTATGAACGGCAATGCAAATATCTGATACACAGGATATCTGACATGCCACCTCCAAAGGTCATAACCCACGGGTTGAGGACTGCTGCCCTAGAGGTCACATGCATGCCCTTTCATTGCCCACACCACTTTGGGGTTTCCTGCACACAAGCGACTGCTTCTGACAGGGCTTGCACAGCAGGGCTTCTGAATAGCAAGGAATACGCTTTCTGTCCCCACATTTTATTGTTCTGGCCAAACTGCCATCAAAACTTCCTGTCATATGCTTACGTGACAACTGGAACTGAGCAGGCAGAGAAGACACTGAAATCTGTGGGGCCACAGTCAGGGTCACAACAGCAGTTGACATCACACTGGGCTGGAAGCAGGTCACAGACACACAGAGCAGCAACTGTGAAATAAAGACAGTGGTGGTTCAGAGAACCACAGTAGTGAGCTGTTACTGTTCCTGCCACCAACCAATGTTACAAAATGCCTGCTTCCTATTGTGCTTGAGGGAAAGTGTCCCCCTGAGGTGGCTGCAGATGCCTGCACTCCTCTGTCAGAGTAGATTCCAAGGAAGACTGTGGCCAACCTCATCCCTTTCCTCACATGCCCTGGTTGCTTTTTATTTTTAATTTGTTCTTTTTTGAGACAGGGTTTCTCTGCCTTAGCTGTCTTGGAACTCATTCTGTAGACCAGGCTGGCCTCAAACCTGGAGATTGACTATTGGGATTAAAGGCTTTTTCAGCCAGTTGCTTTGAAACTGAATTCCTAGTCATTAGATCCTAACCAATAATCAAATGTTCCTATTGTGGCTTAAAATGCCCCCCTTTTTATTTCTTTTTGAGACAGGGTTTCTCTGTGTAACCCTGGCTGTCCCAGAACTCACTCTGTAGACCAGGCTAGCCTCAAACTCAAAGATCCATCTCCTAAACCATGTGTAGGATTAAAGGCAAGTGCTATCATAACCCTGCCAAAATGTTCCTTTTTTTAAAAAAAAATTTACAATACAGGGTAATAAATTTATGGCAGGAAAATACAGTATGGAGGAAAAGGAGGAACCCCACTTACTACCCCTGTAGCAACTTTGACTATATCCACTCTGATGGTCGTCATAACTCTCCAGTACTCCATTGCTAGCCCACTTAACAGACAGAGACCTCCACAAGTGCAGAAGAGAGCCTCCTCCAACAGTCTCTGGGAGCTCAGAGTACTGAGTGTTTGACTACAATGTTTCAACTTATTACTAATGTTATTGTCATTTTATCAAATGGAAAAAACTCTTTGAAAGAAGCAACAGAGCCTGAAGAGAAGGCTGGGCAGTTAAGAGCACTAGCAGCTCTTGCAGTGGATCTAACTTTGGTTCCTAGAACCAGCATAACAGCACATAACCATCTGTAACTCTGGTTCCAGGGGATCTGATGCCCTCTTCTGGCCTCTGCAGGCACCAGGCACACTTACAGTGTACAGATATACATACAGGCAAAGCATCCATCCACATAAGATAAAAATGAATGTCTTAAAAAAAAAAAAAAATCAGTACCAGAACATGAAAATAACAAACCCAATCTGCGGCACGGACTATTGTGAGGAGGGAGGAAATAATAAATTCAGGGCTTCAGTATTTTTTGTTGTTGTTGTTGTTGTTGCTGTTTGTTCTGTTTCCTGAAACAGAGGCTCATCTGGACCAGGCTGGCCTCTTAATCATCCCGCCTCTAAGTAGAAAATGTGAGATCACAGGTGTGTATTATAATTCGTCCCCTCCCCAAGGTAAGGTGTCACTGACTCTTAACTGTAATGTTTTGTTTCCTTTTTTTGGAAAACAATATCAAGCTACAAATAAAGGAAAGAATTTTAGTCAAATGCATATAGGACATCATATCAACATTCTTCAGTTTATGAATGAATGGTTTCACAATTAAAAAAGAAAAACAAACAAACAAACAAACAAACAAACAAACAAAAAGAGCTCTAGAGATGGGAGGTCAACACCAGTGCCTCCCAGCAAGTGGGAGGCAGAGTCAGGAAGGTATGCATGTTATAGGCCAGTCTGGGTCACTGAGCTAAACTGACAGGAAGGGAGCTAGGCAAGAAGGAGCAGGCTGGAAATATGGCTCAGGAGTACAGAGCACATACTGCTTATGGTCAGAACCCAAGCTAAGTTCCCAGCACCCAATTCAGGCAGCTCACAACCACTTACTACAGCCCCAGGGGCTCTGAAGCCCTCTCCTGACCTCTGAGGGCACTAGCACTCATGTGCACATACTCACACAGATATACAAATATACACACAGAATTAATTTTTTTTTCTAGTTTTAGAAAAATCTCAGTCGGGCGTTGGTGGCGCACGCCTTTAATCCCAGCACTCGGGAGGCAGAGGCAGGCGGATCTATGTGAGTTCGAGACCAGCCTGGTCTACAAGAGCTAGTTCCAGGACAGCCTCCAAAGCCCCAGAGAAACCCTGTCTCAAAAAACCAACAAAATCTCACAGTGGGAGCTTAGTAGGGGATATGGACAAAGAAATAAATTCTCTATCAACTGCAGGACGCAGCCATGATGCAAAGTGAAAATATATCTTGCCTCAAATAGCACAATGTGGGACTAGAGAGATGGTTCAGAAGTTAACAACACTTGCTGCTCTTCCAGAGGACCTGAGTTCAATTCCCAGGACCCACTCTGGGCAACTTACAACTGCCTTAACTATAGCTCCGGGGGATTGCACATCCTCCTCTGGCACCTGCACACATGTCCCCAAGTACTCTCTTCTCTCTCTCTCTCTCTCTCTCTCTCTCTCTCTCTCTCTCTCTCTCTCACAACTCACACAAAAAAAAAAAAAAAAAAAAAAAAAAAAAAAAAAAAAAAAAAAAAAAAAAAAAAAAAGAAAGAAAAGAAAAATCTCACCCCCCCAAATGATATAACATGTTCTGGAGAAGCATGAAGAGAAATGAAGTGCACATTTGTCACTGGAAAGCCAGCCCTGAATATGAGCCCTAGTCATATCAACTCAAACACAACTTCATTTTGGGGAGAAAAATCACTAATGGGTATACTTACCTGGATTAATGATAACCCAGTTCACAAACCTTAGAGAAGTCAGGTAGTGGTAGCGCATGCCTTTAATCCCAGCACTTGGGAGGCAGAGGCAGGTGGGACTCTGAATTCAAAGACAACCTGCTCTACCACTCTAGTTCCAGGACAGCCAGGGCTACACAGAGAAACTCTGTCTCAAAAATAAAATAAAATAAACCACCCCCCTCAAAAAAAAAACCTTATAGAATTTCAGACATGAATAGTTGGTTATATTGTCCCAACATACAATGATTTGACTTCTCTGCTAACTCACAAGTCAGCAGGTTAAGTATAAAGCAGAGTTTGGTTTATATATTAAAGTGTCAAATGTATTCCTCATTTGTTTCCTCCTTTGGTGCCAGGGTTGAACCCAGGGCCTCCTGTATGCTAAGTGAACACCCAAACCACTGAACCACACCACCCACCAACCTGAGTATTTTTTCTCACAAACTACTCATTATTTTCGAAGGAGGCTTCCAAGAAGAATGACCTGAAATTAACTCAAGGAGTTCAGGATACCGGTCAAAGACAGCTCTTTCAGTTATCTATACTCTCAGCCTTACTGGGTTAAAGATCTTTTCCTCTCAAACAGTAATAAAAATCACACACAAACACACACACTGTTACTCTCAATCCAGACAAAACTGTCTAAAATTCTTTTTCTGAAATCACAGCTCCACTGAGAACCTAATGACTGCTACAAATCCTTACCCTAGGAAAATGGGGTTACAAAATTTCACAAACTCAAAGTGTCACAGAGCCCCTGAAGTCACAAGCATAAAGTCAGATTATAAAATATTCACTAAATGTGTAATTTGAAATTAAAAGGTCAGTTTCGGGGCTGGAAAGATGGGTCAGAGGTTAAGAGCACTGGCTGCTCTTCCAGAGGTCATGAGTTCAATTCCCAGCAACCACAGGGGGGCTCACAACCATCTATAATGAGATGTGGTGACCTCTTCTGGTGTGCAGGCAAATATGCAGACAGAACACTGTATATGTAATAAAAATAAGTAAATAATTTAAAAATTATTTTTAAAGATTTTATTTATTTATTATGTATACCACATTCTGCTTCCATGTATATCTGCACATCAGAAGAGGGCACCAGATCTCATAAGGGATGGATGTGAGCCACCATGTGGTTGCTGGGAATTGAACTCAGGACCTCTGGTAGAACAGCCGGTGCTCTTATCCTCTGAGCCATCTCTCCAGCCCTAAAAATTATTTTTAAAAAAGTTGAGTTTCTGGGGTGGTGATATGGCAAAGATAAAGGCACTTTGGCCTGGTACTTGGTTTGGCAGGAGCAAAATTCAAGGTGTCCTTTGACCTCCACAGTATTTTTGTGCACCAACACACAAATAAGTAAATGTAGTAATTTCTTTTTTAAGTAAGACCAGTTCCTGAGACACATTCATTATCCATAAATAAAAATCCTAATATCTGGGCCTAAGCCCTCACCTTACACTCTCCCACCTCCAATTCAACACAGGAGGCAAGCTGCAATCAACAGAGAAGGGCGTCTGAAATGTACTCGTTGGAAAAAAGTACAAACAGAGCCTATGCGTTCATTTCCTCCACGTTCCAGAAACTATCTAGTTTCATCTTCAGCTGCGCGGATGTACTCAATATAAACTTTGGTATTAACATTGCCCGGGACTACTGAAGTTTTCCAAGATCTGAGAGTGTCTCAACTTAGGCCCGGCTTTCCGCATTTGTGTGCCGGAGAACCCGTCTCCCTCTCAGGGTTCTGACAGGGAGCCTGACAAGAATGGAACTTTGAGCGGCTGTCACTTTTCCTATGTTCTCACTAGTCTTCTACCCGCTCCAGGGAGTTAACACTTTGTACCCACCGTCCGTGACCGGGGTGGGCCTGGGGCCAGGGAGCTCCGGGGCCTTGGGAGTCCCTGGGGTCCTAGGCGACCCGGAGGGCCTCAGAGTGGCTGGGATGGCGTCGGTGGAGTTGAGGTCCTCCTTCGTCAT